GCCCAGCTCCCTCTGTCAATGATCTAGCACCCCCCCCTCAGCAGCGTTCAAAATTCTCTGGCGCCGCCCCTGGTACATCGATGTATTTTTGAAAAACAAAAATTAAGTTTGTCCAACTCTAAACCCAGTCCCCAAGTAAATTAGGTTATTAAATAAAAAACTAGCAAAACGAGTTGCAAGGTGTCCCCACCACTTTTCAAAGCAAAGTTACGCCACTGCTTACAAGTATTATTTTTAGTTTTTGCATCTCTCCTGGAATTTAAATGCCAACTGTTGATATTTTATCAAGATCTATAGAGCTGAAATGAACGATTGAATGGACCAGTTTAGGTCTCGTTCACTAGCAGACACACTTGCACTAAGACAATAAAAGCTGAAGTCACATTATAAGGAGTTACTGCTCATCTCTCACATGTTTAGACGGCAGACCTGGTCCAGTGGTGAGTGGCGCAAGACCCGTTCCCATCATCCACCCCTCTATTTCCATCCATCCCTCTCTCGTTTCCCCCTCCGCAGTGTCTGCCTGCTTCTCTCTTTCTGTCTGTCTGCCTCTGCTTGAACTGTTGCTTGCTTGCTTGCTTCTACGTTTTTGTCTTTTCTGTGTTGTCTAATGGTCAAGGCCTTGTTTAGATCTCTATTGCGGTTGCATCGGCATGAGTATGACTTTGATTTGACTTTGTCCCTAAGCCTGTTTGGCTGTTGCCTCTTGCTGTTTCCAGAGGTACCGTGCTTGGTTGATTTCTCAACCTGTCAACACACGAGTGACTGAAGGGAAGCATGGCCAAACACTTATAAACATTTCTCTCTCTCTCTCTGAAATGCACTTTGTTTTTTGTTTAAATATGCACTTAGTGCTCTTCAAAAGCGAATATTCCCTTTGCATTTCAAGCTGTCGCAGCCCTCTATACCTTTACATATTAAAACATGCTTGACCTTTCGAAGGCTTAATTCGCTCCAAACTTCAGAGCTTTGTTTCATTCCATGACGAGCTTTGATCTTGTAATGTCATACCAGGAGAGAGCATGATGGGATGCGGCTGCATGAACTATGATTTTATGGCATACAACTGTACAAATGGCTGAGAAGCAAGACTCCCGAGAAAGCAAGATGTCTAACAGCCCTTCTGTTGAATCCTCTCCAAGTCATGGGAGGAAAATAGAAGATGGATTTGCTGCTATATTTACTTGTGTGTCTGTTTATTTCTGCTTAGATCAACAAACTTTGGAGTTTTGTGGAATTCCTCTGCAGATTGGTCCTCAGATGGCTCTTTTTAAACATATAAGGAGTTTAAATTGCTCTTATTCGGCTCAGAAAAGTTTGTTGATCTATTGGTGCTCAATGCTTAGTGGCGTTCTCTAAACTCTTTACCCACCGCCGTCTCCTCTGTTGAAGCTCACGCATGCCATTTTCTTTGTTTAAAGGGTCTGATAGGACCAGCTGGAGTGTCTGGGCCTGCAGGACCAAAAGGAGAAATGGTTAGTGCTGTTTTTTGTTTGTAAAAACAATTTACCAAATCTGTGGGGCTCCAAAAATGGGTTTCTAGTAATATTTCATATTATGTAAAATGGTAAAATCCTTGATGATGCTGTAGGTGTGAAAGCAAGCATCATGACAACTCGCCAAATGAAATATAGTTTTGAATGAATCACAATTTATTGCATCATTGCTTAGGTGATGAATAACTCAATCAATTATTAAATTACTAGATATTTAACACACAGGCAGGATAGTAGTGAAACAAGTTGCTCTGCGAGTGTTATCAGTATTTCAACGGCCTCTTGTCAACCAATCAAAATCAAGCATTCATTGATTGTATAAAGTATAATGTCCAGCGTAATACATAATGCCTTTTTTACGTTACAGGGGGAAAAGGGTGATATGGGAGTAGCTGGACCAATTGGGCCTCAAGGCATCCCTGTAAGTGCTGTACCAGAGCACAATTTAACATTTCAAATACTGTAATGTTTCCATACCATGTATAAGTGCGTTCAGATGAAAAATGGACCATCAGTAACGTCTCTCTCCCCCATGCATTCAGGGTTTAGTAGGACCACTGGGATTAAAAGGAAACCGGGTAAGATTATAAATGCGTTCTTGATCATAGTTTGTTTGTAGAATATGTTATTGTGACTTTGAGGGACAATAACATGAGTCCACTTTCTTAAAATAAAGGGATGGACGATATTTCTAAGCCAGCATGAATCTGCCAAACTTTTAAGCATTAGCTACTGTTCATTATTAAATAACTGTGGTTATTTAATTTATTAAATTAAAAATTATGCAATATTAACTGCAATTTTTTGGGGGGGTTAATGAGACAAACAGAAGCATGCTGGGTATAAGAAATTAGAATGGCTACTGCTTACTGCTAGAAAATAAGTGTATATATACAGTGAGGTCTAAAACCTGAAAATAAGGAATTTTAAACCTGAGACAAAACAAGTTTTGGGATTTGGAAAAATGAAAACACAAATGTTATGACATGAGTAAAAAACAATTTCTCAGTCATTAATGAAATACAATTTGTGAGATCATGTGACTTTTTGTACATTGAAGCACAAGATGCACTTTCATTCTCAAATCATGATGAATGAAGCATCAGGATTCACACCCACACACACACAAATGAAATTCAAGTTAAATTTATTAAATTAATAAATTTAATTTATATTTTTTTAAAATTGCATTTAGAAAAAAATCCAAAAAAGTCTTTTGGATGCCACTGTATGTTCATTGATGATGGTTTAAACATATATTCTTATTTCAGAACAGAATATTTGTTAATCCTTATATACATATATTTATTTGCAATTATTCTTTTTGTTTTTGCAGTTCTTATTTTTTAGTATATAGACATATTTAGAGTATACAGACACATTTAAACAGACAAAAATATATATTTTTGCATGATTAACTCTAAAACTGACATATGATATAAATGGCTAAAGTTAAAATGTTCCAAAAGAGTTATTATTATAAAAAGAAGTACATGTGAATAGACCATTGCTTTTCTATGCTTTCATCCTCCTAGACTGTATGCCTCTCTCCTATTAACACTAATTTACTCAGTTAATGACTGAATCTTTCCCACCTTGAATGTCAGGACATGTCAGCGCTCCTCCCAGCATCCTCCACTGGCTATGTAGTATTAAACAGGACCAAACAACTCAATCAAACTGATCGGTATTGGATAATTCTGCTCAGTGGAAGGTGCTGTGGAGGACCCTTGGACACGGTGCTGTTTTTACTCTTGTCCTTTCCTTGTCTTCCTCTTTTTTTCCACAGGTCTTCCTATCCCCTTTTCCTCCCCCTGCACCGTGGCCTGTGTCCGTGGCTCTTTTTGCTGAGTCGGGCCGGGTCGTCCTCTCTGTCCCCTTCTCACTCCCTGGCCTCCTCCTGCTCCTCCTGTATCCTAATGTTGTAGCCTGGGTTAATACTCCTCCTCTTCCTCACCTCCTACTTTTGTTCATATCCTTCACTGACCTCCCTACCAACCTGCATTCATTTTCTCCCAATTGTTCTAATGCACAGAGTTCTTATTGTTCCACAAATCCTCATCTGGATCTATTTTGAAAAGGCACATAACCAAGCAATGTGGGAAAAGGCATTATGTCAGTGTGGAGTTCATTTTGACATCCTGATGAGAGTATTTAGGAAAAACACTCCAGCCAGGAGCCAAAAGTTCAGAAACAGTCTTAAAGAATCAGTATTTGTCAAACAGGATTAGAAAATGAGCTCCATGTTGATTCACAATGTAATTCCACTTTGATTTTTTTCTTCTTCCTCTGCTAAGTGTTAGAATAACAGTCATGATGAGGGCTGTGCGGAATGTTAGAACTCTGTATCCTAGCTTGGATAGATCCCACTTTGGAAGACTTATAAAGCTTAAATGTAATAGTTTCCTCTGAAGAACCCTTTAACTTTGCGTGCAGACTTGAAGATAAATCACGAAACTCTACTATAGTAAACTAGGAGGACTAAAGTCTGACTTTTTTGAATGCACTGTTGTTTGCAGGGGGAAAGGGGCAAGAAAGGCAACAGGGGGGCCAAAGGGGATAAGGGAGACCAAGGAGCCCCGGGATTAGATGCCCCGTGTCCGTTGGTATGTCTTTTGTTCAACGTGCAGCACTAAGGCAAAAGGAGACTTCCCGAAAGCCACGTCTCCTTTTGTCTTTGTGTAATAAACACTAACAGATGCCTAGAAGAGTTCTGGTCAAAGTCAGTGAATTGCGACGTACATTCATATATAGAGACTTTGTGCTCATATGTTCCTCATGAATTATATAAGAACTATTATAGATTGGGATTTGAATTAAAAATGACTAGGCACCAGAACTCTCAAAGGGATTTTTGCTTTTCAGGATTAAGACTGACAGGAATATGGTTCTGCTGAACACAGCAGGATGGAGCCACTAGTTCAGTAACTAGTTCTAGTTGGACTAGTTGTGAGTTTCCTGCCCTGTGGATGCAGTGAGTCTCTTCCTGTCAGTCTTGGGTCCAGTGTGCTCTGGACCAATCAGATGCTGGAACAGAGCGGCCAATGTGGCTGGACAACAGGATGTTTATATGATTGATTTCATGAACAGGGTTTCCGAGGCTTTAAAGGGGAGAAAGGTGAACCGGGGCAGCCAGGCCTGGACGGGCTAGATGCCCCGTGTCCTGTGGTATGCTGCTGTCTATCCCTTTCCTTATTCTGCATGCTTCCTGCCTTCCCGAACCCATGATGTTTTCTAATTGCATAATGCTTCAGCATTAAAGTTTATTAAAGTAAACTTTAAAGTCCCTGTAAAGTCAATTCTGAGAATTGTTTCTAAATGCATTATGTTAGAACTCTGTATCCTAGCTTGGATAGATCCCACTTTGGAAGACTTATAAAGCTTAAATGTAATAGTTTCCTCTGAAGAACCCTTTACCTTTTAACTTTTGACTTGAAGATAAATCACGAAACTCTCTAAAAGCAAAGCTGGTCTTAATTAGTAATAAAGCACAGGGATACTGATTAAACTGTTTTAGTGCCTCTTCAGCTTTTGTACATTAGCCTTTGCAATTATATTTCATTGAATTGAGTTCTATATGGAATCAATCACAGAATGCCTATTTATTGGAGCCAACATTTGATGGCTAGATCAGGCAATAAAAATATAGTGCTCATTCTATTCAGAAGTGATCACCCAATACGCTATTTACGTTGAAAATGTAGATGTAGATGTTTTTAGGCACTTCAAGTTGATACGTTAAATTAAAAAAAGTGACAGTAAAGTAGCATTTATGTTGTAACATTCATAATGTTTCAAAATATTTCTATTTTATTCAATTTTTTATTAATGTTTCATTCTGTTTAATTTATAAATGCTGTTCTTTTGAACTTTCTATTCATCAGAGCAATCAGTTTCCATAAAATAGGAAGCAGCACAAGTGTTGTCGACATAATAGCCATATTCGAATTATTTCTGAAGGATCACAGGAATGAATTACATTTAATACAAAATTATTATTAAAACAGAATATTGCTGTTTTCTTGTATTTTTAATCAAATTAATTTACTCGAGACACAAGACATCTTTCTAAAAAAAATAAATAAATCTGACCAAAAATGTTTGAATCGTAGCGTACGTGTAATTGAGGCAAAAAAAAAAAAATTATGAAAAAAATTCAATGCTATATAAAATTGTCACTTACATGCATTTGACAAGATTCCACTGATATCAGTGGCTTAAAAAAACACAGAGAATAATAATAATTGTAATGTATAAATTGTGTATTGTGAAAACTGATATACAAATAAATGTGCATTGAATGAATCAAGTAAATGAAAGTCTGCACACTAACCACACTGGCTGATCTCCTTCTCCTTAACCCCTCCACTTACCCTCCTTAAATGATCCCTATACTCATCATAGCTCCATTCAAAAACACAGCTAGTTTTAGAATGTCTTGTAGAGCATCCAAAGTTTCTTAGTTATTCATAGTGATGGTGCTTTTCTTACTAGTACTACTATAGTAAACTAGGAGGACTAAAGTCTGACTTTTTTGAATGCACTGTTGTTTGCAGGGGGAGAGGGGCAAGAAAGGCAACAGGGGGGCCAAAGGGGATAAGGGAGACCAAGGAGCCCCGGGATTAGATGCCCCGTGTCCGTTGGTATGTCTTTTGTTCAACGTGCAGCACTAAGGCAAAAGGAGACTTCCCGAAAGCCACGCCTCCTTATGTCTTTGTGTAATAAACACTAACAGATGCCCAGAAGAGTTCTGGTCGAAGTCTGTGAATTACAACGTATGTACAATATAGAGACTCATATGTTACTCACGCATTATATTAGAACTATTATAGATGGGGATTTGAATTCAAAATGACTAGGCACCAGAACTCTCAATGGGATGTTTGCTTTTCAGGAGTAAGACTGACAGGAATATGGTTCTGCTGAACACAGCAGGATGGAGCCACTAGTTCAGTAACTAGTTCTAGTTGGACTAGTTGTGAGTTTCCTGCCCTGTGGATGCAGTGAGTCTCTTCCTGTCAGTCTTGGGTCCAGTGTGCTCTGGACCAATCAGATGCTGGAACAGAGCGGCCAATGTGGCTGGACAACAGGATGTTTATATGATTGATTTCATGAACAGGGTTTCCGAGGCTTTAAAGGGGAGAAAGGTGAACCGGGGCAGCCAGGCCTGGACGGGCTAGATGCCCCGTGTCCTGTGGTATGCTGCTGTCTATCCCTTTCCTTATTCTGCATGCTTCCTGCCTTCCCGAACCCATGATGTTTTCTAATTGCATAATGCTTCAGCATTAAAGTTTATTAAAGTAAACTTTAAAGTCCCTGTAAAGTCAATTCTGAGAATTGTTTCTAAATGCATTATAAATGTTACAAATGTATTGCTGGAACACATTACAAAGACTGTGAATTCTGTAGTACTGAATAGTGGAGTTAGACCGTTAAACAGTTTTTTCACCAATTCTGTGTTCAGGATTTTTTGGGCGGGCTAAAATGGTGGCTCGATGACGCACTGGAGCCACCGATCATGGCCCCTCCCCTAACACTATAATAACCGTCGATGACGCACCGGAGCAAATATGTATGGCTTTGTAAATCCAATTAAGCTGCTGGTGGCTCGATGACGCACTGGAGCCACCGATCATGGCCCCTCCCCTAACACTATAATAACCGTCGATGACGCACCGGAGCAAATATGTATGGCTTTGTAAATCCAATTAAGCTGCTAGGAGCATCCATTCAGGCTGTAGCGGTATTTGACAGTTAAGAGGTGGCAGCTTTCCCGTGAGTGGGTGTGGTTTCAGCGCAGACAGTGGACACGCCCCCAGCGTTTGAGAGCAGAGGATACCGCTCATTTTTTCGAGATTTTGATAACTTATTTTATGTACTTAGCGGATTTTTTTATCATTTAAATTTGTCTGAGTGGTTAATAATACATTTTTCTGTGGTGTGACAAACTCAGAACACATACTTAAAGGGGTCATATGATGCCATTTTAAAGATCATTATTTTGTGTATTTGGTGTAACAGAATGTTGACATGCTTTAATGTTCAAAAAACACATTATTTTTCAAATACTGTACATTATTGTAGGTCCTCTATGCCCCGCCTCTCTCAAACGCTTCGTTTTCTACAAAGCCCCCTCCTTTGACAAGCGCAGTCTGCTCTGATTGGCCAGCTGACCCAGTGCATTGTGATTGGCCGAACACCACAAGCACACAAAATGTAACGGCCCTTACCATAATCGCAAAGGCCTTTTAGTGTAGCTGTAAAAATGTCCACCTTCAGGTTGTGGTACATTTCTTTCTGCTGTGAAATCTGGGTCTGTATTCACAAAGCAGTTTATCTTACCACTACGAGTTCTCCTAAATCGCAGTAAAAGTTTAGCTAAGAGTTTTCTTTTAACCTGTTCACAAAGCTGCTGAGACACACTTTTACTGAGGAATAGAGAGAAGTCTTCAGCTCAGAGTAAGAGCAGGGTGGATGATGTCGGCGTGCTTATTAGCTATGCACACCGTGATTGGCTGATAGTCTCTGTCAGAGATTTATTCATGGAAATATTGTAGAGCGAGATATTGTTGCCATATTCAAATAAAGGTTTAAAAATAAAAATGTTAATAGTCACATTCAAATAAAGATTTATTTAAGCAGACAGTCTACTAATACTCTAATGACTGCTAGTTGACATGTAGTTAGTTACTTGCTGGTAGTAGAATGTTTAAAGTGGACTACCAAAATAAAGTGTTACCAATTTATATTATATAAATATTTAATATATAAACGTAACATTTAAAAAAAATATTTACATGCATGTGTGTGTATTTTATATATACTTAATTTTACTGACTCCAAATCATGCCTTCAAGTAATGGACTCTTTAAAAACTGATCATCCTTTGATGGATTGTATTTTAACCAAAGTGGACCATCTACAGAATCAATTCTATAGTATTATGTTGGGCTTTCAGGAAATGAGCGAGCTGCAAAGGAGTAAACACATGTCAAATTCCTCCCTCAGAGATCAGACCTATTATTAATCGTTACATATTAAATAAGTGGCGAGAAGAGTGGGATACATGTACAAATAATAAATTACATGAAATGCATCCAGAAATTTCAAACAGATTATTAATCTCTTTTAAAGGGGTCATATGATGCTTTTTTTAAAGATCATTATTTTGTGTATTTGGTGTAACAGAATATGTTGACATGCTTTAATGTTCAAAAAACACATTATTTTTCAAATACTGTACATTATTGTAGGTCCTCTATGCCCCGCCTCTCTCAAACGCTTCGTTTTCTACAAAGCCCCCTCCTTTGACAAGCGCAGTCTGCTCTGATTGGCCAGCTGACCCAGTGCATTGTGATTGGCCGAACACCGCAAGCACTCGTCGGAAATGTAACGCCCCTTACCATAATCGCGAGCGTCAGCTTTCAAAGTAAATATCAAGACAGTTAATAATGTCGTTAGTTTTACCATCAGTTCAAGCCCGAAAGGGCAACAGAGTCGCGTGACAGACACAGTGATGATGCAGTACACAAGCCGCGGTTAAGACAGCTGACGTGCTATGATTTCTGACAGGCAGTTCACTCTCCTGTGATGTGACCCTGTTCCCCTCACACACACACACACACGACGTGTTACTCTGCGCTGCGCAAAACTCCGCATTTGAACAGTCAATAGCAAATACTTAAACTAGTAACAAAACATACTTACAGTCGCTGATTCAGAAGCGCCAGATTGTCATAGCAAAGTTGGAATTGACCCTTTTTTTTATTTTTTAGAAATAGCCTTTTGTGCAGCCAGCTTTGTACTCTTCTAGGTTCAAAAAACTGTCGTCCATAAAATGCGTTGCACAAATTTGAACATCTGGGTTGTGCTGTTCTGTAATAAATCTTAACCAATGATTCCTAATTGCATCTACTTCCGGAAGGCCAAATAAAGTGCTTTTGCTTTCGCACTGAAACACAGCTTCTCCCTGACATGGCTGCATCAACACTACTGCTGTTTCTGAAACCACGCCTTCTTTCTTTGCGTGCACGTTTGGGCGGCATTATGCTAATATTTCCACATAGTGACCTAGATATGTGGGGGCGTGTTAGAACGAGCCGTTTTAGGTAGGTGTGGCTGACTCTTAACTTTTATAAAGAATATCTCTTTGGATTTGAGACTTTAGTCTTTGCAACTTTACAGATCTTCTTTATGCACCAAGAGCTTGTAACAATCCAAAGAGAAAGGAAAACTTGAAATCACTTTAATATTGAATTTACAGGGACTTTAAGGAATGGAGAGAAAATAGTTAAAGAATAGGGCAGAAAATTCTTGCATGTATCAGTATTAATATCTATAATTAACTCTATAAATATATTTTAAAGGAATAGAATTCACCTAAATATTAAAATTTACTTACCCTTCATCCAAGGTAATCCAAGATGTAGATGAGATTGTTCATGGGGGCAGATTTGGAGAAATTCAGCATTACATCACTTGCTCACCAATTGATCCTCTGTAGTGAATGGGTGCCGTCAGAATGAGAGTCCAAACTGCTGATAAAAACATCACAATAATCCACAAGTAATCCACAAGACTCCAGTCTACCAATAATGTCTTGTGAAGTGAAAAGCTGCATGTTTTTAAGAAGCAAATTCATTATTAAGGCGTTCTGACTTTAAACCATTGCTTTTTGGTTAGTATTATGGGAACAGTCTCAAGTTTAACTAAGCCCAAAATCTGATATACAACCTATACAAGGACTAAATCAAAATCTCTCATTGAATGCAAAATATAGTCTTTTATATTCAGTAAGAAAAATTTAAGGAAAAATCATTTATCAAATCATTTAATTTCAACCTTTTTCATTATATTTACACCAAATCAAAACAAAAGAATATGTAAAGGTAGAATTCAAATAGGTTCACTATCCGTGGATGATGAATTAAGAATAATAGAGTGAATAAAATCTTATCGGAATTCCATTAAAAGTCCCAAAAAGTCCAGCATAACAGTCAATCTTAATCCATATGCCTGTTGTAGTTAATACCACAGTTCATAGTAAGTTGGAAGATCCGTATAAAGATAACAGGCAAACGACGAGATGAAGAGATTTGTGAAAAAAAGGAAATTATAAAACTTCTTCCACAGTCTTCATATCAAGGACCATAATCCTCCAGAGAACAAGAGTCCTACAAAAGTAAAAAAGAAACCAAACTAAATGTTCAAATAACACTTCCAGTGCAAGACAAAAGTTAAACATACATTTCACACCAAACATAGCCTCACTTATTTTCAGTTGAGCATAAAACACAAGTTTCTCAACAAGGACTTTTGAGCACATGGCAAAAAAGTCCTTCTTCAAATGTAAAAAAGAAACCATACTAAATGTCCAAATAATAATAGCGCTTCCTCCAGTGAAAGTCCATCCAGTATTGTCCTCTCACATCAAAATCCACAGAAATATTTGTTTAGAACTGTTTTGTACTGTTTTTTTTTTGCTTGTAAACGGTGCTTGATCTATGCATACTTCTCTCCTGATTCAGACGAGGCAACTTTTTCACTGGTGAAAGCAATATTATGAATGAGGACTCATACTTTAAATCTTAATGGAGATGTTTCTTACAAACATGCAGATTTTCACTTCACAAAACATGAATTGATGGACTTGAGTCATGCGGATTACTTGTGATGTTTTTATCAGCTGTTTGGACTCATTCTGGCGGCACCCATTCACTTGCAAAGTCATTGGTGAGCAAGTGATGTAATAAAATTTCTCCAAATCAGTTCTGATGAAGAAACAAACTCATCTACATCTTAGATGACCCGAGGGCGAGTAAATTTTCAGGAAATTTTCATTTTTGGGTGAACTATTCCTTTAATTATTAACCATTTCTAAAATCTGTTTTAACTAAGTTTGTTGATTTATATAATAAAATAATGAAAAACTTACGTTTTTTTGTTTTTTTTTAACCAATACATTAACTTATTTAACTTGATTTCTGTGAAACATGAATATTGAGATTACTGGTAAAATAGGATGGTTGCTACTTAACTAGTTTACTTAACATGACTGCATGCATTCCATTTTCATTTCACTTATCTGCGTATCCACTATTCTTACACTAACCCGCATATTGACTAAATCCTCCACTAAATTTCACCACATCTGTTTCAGTCTAGTAAATCGGAGCACCCTGGGTCACTACAAATATCTGCATGAGAGAAGGTGTTCACTAGAAATACATTGTTGCAAAAAGCAGGCATCTTGACTGGTCATTATTTTCATGGATACTAATTAACCTGATTGAATTGTCAAGATTTGAATTGAAAACACTTTGATTTGAATAAAAGTTTCCAGGTACATCATATGTGCATATTGTAGATGGATAGAAAAGTATAAGTATTATAAAGTTATTTATCACCATGTAAGTTTTTTTAATGTGTATGTGTGTGTGTGTGTGTGTGTGTGCGCGCATGGACAGTCATCTATTGATTCATTGATTGATTGATCAACTTACTGCAGAGGGGAAATGGAAATGTATGTTTCAAAAGTGACTTCTGAAATGATTATGTATACTGTATGTGCACAGATACAGTTATGTCACCCCTCTCAAGAATATTACTAATTCTTACAATTCGTCACCACTCCTCTTTGTTTTAGGGTGATGATGGTTTGCCAGTACCAGGGTGTTGGAATAAAGTGAGTTATATTGAATGATCATATTAACATTTAAATTTTAAATAATTGTGTCCATACCATCTTTATTATGATATAACTCAATGCTATTAATTCATGATATGGAGGTACAGAATTAATGTTAAGTTAAATAAGTTAATATATAATGTAATACAAATTGGTTTATGTGCATAGAAATTATTTTGAGCATTACTCAATTTATAATTAAACATTTCCAATCTGCTATAATACGATACTTTATGACTAGTTGTTTTGGAATATGATTTGAGATGTATTGTTGATTCGACATCTGATAGGAATAACTCTATACCTCCATTTGCTTGGAAGGTGTGTGCTTGAAAATAACAGTCTTTTTGCCTCTTGTTTTGCAGTGATGTTAATTCCTGAATACCATGTGTGATTGTAAATAGAATATTTATTTTTGTACTTTTTTTTTGTGCCATTGATCTATTATATTGATGGAAAATACAGCAAACCATAAAAATACTGGCAGGACTTTTGTACAGATGTTTATTTTTATTACTGGTAATGTTGTTTATGTAATGGACTTAATAATGTTTTTTGATCGAGGAAGAAATATACTGTGGCAACATATGCATGATATTTGTGCATTATGTTAACTGTTAAGTGCCTATTAACTTATTGTATCAGTGTTTTAATGTGTTGTGTCGGACCACGCTGCACTGATTAGTGGGGCTGGAGTTACAAATTGGCCTTGTGTGTGTAAGAGGAAACCCTTTGCTCTGAGATTAACATGTTCACACCACACCTAATGAGCTTACACTGTAACTGCATATGTTTACTGAACATTAAAATGACTTATTTCAAAGTCCATACTACATGCAGTAGAATTATCAAGTCAGTTGTTTCATATGAGTTTCGGTGCATAAATTATGAACATTTGCACTGCGTGGCTTGTTTAGTGAGCATTTCATACTGTTTTCTCCATATTCACCTGCCATTTTTTGCCAAATATATTATTGCGAAAACTGAATTAGTGAATGGCTCTATGAAAAGAAAAGAATGACTGAAATCCACACACAGTGCTTTGCCTTGATGGGCTTTCATGTAAATATGTCTAAATCTGGCCCTTTGAGCAGCTATATTTTTTCTCTTATCTCTATTCTTATTTCTGGCAATTTAATAGTATAGTAGATTAATGTAATTTACATACTTGGGCAATGAATTTAGTCTTAATTTATCATTTATATTGCTGCTCACTGTCAAGCACATCTTTGTGTTTGTTAATAAGCATCAACAAGCATTCAAAAGTTTGGGGTCAGTATTTCATTTTTTTTTTTTTTTTAAGATTTTAGTTCTTTTATTCAGCAAGATGCATTAAATTGATCAAAAGTGTCACTAAAGACGTTTACATTGTTGAAAAAATATTCTATTTTAAATGTTGTTCTTTTAAACTTTCTATTCATCAAAGAATCCTGAAAAAAATGCATGTTTCCACAAAAATATTAAGCAGCACAACTGTGTGACACTGAAGATCGGAGTAATGATGCTGAAAATTCAGCTTTGAAATCACAGAAATACATGTTTTAAATTTTAAAATATATAGTCATTTTAAATTGTAAAAATATTTCACAATATTACTAAGTTTACTGTATTTTGATTTAATAAATGCAGCCTTGGTGAACATAAGAAACTTGTTTCAAAAATCGTACTGACTCCAAATGTTTGAATGGTACTGTATGTCCCATTTTACCTCAAGTAAAAATGAAGAATAAAACCAACTAAGTTAGTATTACAAACATGCCATATACATCATAATATGTTTATTATAAGGCCCACAGCTAAAATGGTTTTGTTGTATTTGTTTTGTGTTCATTCAGTGTTGAAGTGGATTGATTGCTGCTGCTTACATTGACAAGCTATTCGGGTTCCATTTTGCCACTTAATATCAAGTTAAGCATGGTTTGTAATAATCAGCGTCTATAAACTCTTTATCTGTCTGTAATACCTCATACTAACATGTGCCTTAATGCTTTTACTCTGCCAAAGTAGTTTTGAGACATATCAACAATGTCAAAGAAGCTATGCTGTCAACATGAGGACTATAAGATAATAAATGGCTGTAAAAAGCCAAAACATTTCCTAACACGTCTTATGTTCTCTTTTTAATTTGATATCCTTAGAAGATTCAGATTTTTTTAACTTTGTTTTTTTATAGTAATGACATGACATTTACACAGAGACTAAGAAAAATTAACACCCTCTGGATGTTTACATGCTGAAGTTGTGCTTGTTATTGTGATTTGCATTTGACAAAAAGTGTGAAAATTGCATTAGTGGGTTTCAGGATTGAGTTATTTTATATACATGCATGTTTTCTGAGGCCCCCTCCGTGTCATCTTTGCAGAAGTCTACTACAAATATGTATGTTTCTTTTATTAAAAGGGTCAGAATCCGTTCCAGCTAGCCAAGAAGTAACCCTGTAGTGAAATCCACAAGGTTCTGGTTCGATTTTCTTCATAAGCAACACAAAAACTTGAAGAGATTTTGGGAGATCTTTAAGTATGGCCTGCTCTTTGGTGGCTGTTGGAAGGATTTTGTTTCCTGTATAAGCGTCCTATAGTACTGAGAGACTCCAGAGGGCGGCAGATGTGAGCAGACTGACACTGACTGGACTACAGAAAAGACGATAATGCAAAAGTAGCCTGTCGTTTTTAGACCTTTTTCTTTCTCTTCAATATTATTCACTATGTGAAAGAAACATTTTAGCACATTTCGTTCCTTGTTGATGACGATGTTAAATAATGTTTGTGATCGGAGGATCCAGCGCAGCTCGTTGAACATGCAGATGTGCTCTGAGTGTTCTTGTGTTTCCAGACAAAACCAAAGAAAGACAAAATCTTTGATGATTCCTGATTCAAAATATCACTGCCTTCTGTCGAGAGTTGCAGGTAGAATGCAACCTCACAGTTCACTCAAAGTACACCTTTATTCTCGCGTTTAATATTAATATTTAGCATAAATGGATGTACATAACCATCCTGCTTTGTATACAATGTTGTTGTGCTTGTACATAGCATAATGTTATACCTTTAAAAATGAAAATAGAATCAGTTATACAGCTAAAAACAAAGTAAACATGAGTGACAAAGTAAACTATCACTTTTAACTAATTTGAAACGCCTGCTATGTACCAACTATTACCACAATCCTTCTACATGTTACTTTGCAAAAAAGTTTTCAAAAAATGCAATAGCTGTTTGCAACAGGGCATTTGATGGTGTTGCAACATGCATGCAACATTTCACTGCTGTAAACATAGATGTCAATGCTGACTCCATCTGTATATTTTGCCAACTCTTTGAAATGCAAATAACTGTTTGCAGTTTGTTTGGGTAAATCTACTCTTACAGAACGGTTGTACTTTTCAGAATATATTGGGGCAGCTAAAGCAACAAATTTAAGCCAGCAGTGACACATTGGGCATTTAATTTATTTATCATTGGTTTCGCACATGTTTGACACTTCAGATAAACTATTTGTTTATATGAAGTTTTTGCACCTATACGTCTGATTAGAGTAAACTTCTTTTTTGACATGAAAACAATTTTTGGTTGTCCAATATGCAACTTATTACCAGAATCACAGAATATAAAGTACCGCTATGGGATGACAACACCGCATTAACCATAACAGCGTTTGTGAGGGAAAATAATCTTTAATCTCCTTACAAAATTTGGGATCTGGATTCAAAAAAAGAAAATTTAATGTGGTTTCATATGTACCAGCAGCTGGTTTTTTTTTTTTTTTTTTTAAACCTAATGCAAGCATTCCTTATATTGTATTTTGACTGTTTCAGACAAACATTGGTTGTGTATAAACCCACTGTAAATGTCTATCCAGATAACAAGTTAATTATTATTGAATTAAATTAGTTTGCAAGCCTGGAACACACCTATTTTTCATTAGTATATTGTTTTCATTGTCATCTGAATGAATATTAGAGGATAAGTCAATTATTGAGAGATAAAATCAATGTTAAATTGTGTTTATTTGAAACATTGTTTATTGGATTATACATTACTGAGAATCCACTTTTATTTGTTTTGAAGACATTAAATTGTATGATATGTGTAAAAAAAAAAAAAAAAAAAGGGGCCCTCTCTTTTAACTCACTCCTAAAAATAGAGGTTCTTCAGTAGCTTATCAGGGCACAATTTTACCGTTTAAGCGTATTTCTCGACTACATTATATTCTGGAGATTTTGCAAGCTCTTGATAGATTTTTAGGATCTTTAAATCACAAATCATCAGTACATAAACGATATTTTTAAGAATTGGTATCGGACTGACGCCTGCAAAGCCCCTCTAATTGCAACCTTTATTTTTAAGTGTGCTGACATCTGTAGATTTACAAACATGCATTGTTTTATGCTAGTAGGTACAGAATGATTAATATTTGCAACAAATTACAGATTGTAATAACTAACAAAAAGAAGAGAAATACTTATCAAAAAAAAAAAAAGGGGCTCTCTCTTTTAACTCACTCCTAAAAATAGAGGTTCTTCAGTAGCTTATCAGGGCACAATTTTACCGTTTAAGCGTATTTCTCGACTACATTATATTCTGGAGATTTTGCAAGCTCTTGATAGATTTTTAGGATCTTTAAAATCACAAATCATCAGTACATAAACGATATTTTTAAGAATTGGTATCGGACTGACGCCTGCAAAGCCCCTCTAATTGCAACCTTTATTTTTAAGTGTGCTGACATCTGTAGATTTACAAACATGCATTGTTTTATGCTAGTAGGTACAGAATGATTAATATTTGCAACAAATTACAGATTGTAATAACTAACAAAAAGAAGAGAAATACTTATCGTCATTCTGTACCCACTCACATAATGCTCAATTTGCAATGCTCAAAAAACAGGATGAATCTGATCTTATGCACTCTGTATTATTTTAGCATTGGGTGCTTTTTTGACTCTAGGGCATGTTATAAAGTGTTTTTCATTTTATTGTGCACGAGGCATAATTTCTTTTTTTTTTTTCAGTATAATTTTGCACATTGAAGCGTGTGTGACTTTTTTTCCATGTTTTGAACAAGAATATAATATTTGTACAGTACATCATGCATTTTCTACACATTTCCCTTTTTTACAAAGATTTTGATCTTGTATTGTCCTTTGTACAGTGTACTCTTCAAATAACGTGTCACTCAAATATAAATATACTGACTAGATTCATATCTGCGACACAGCATTATAGGAATAGTTCACCTAAAAATGAAAGTTCGCTGAAATGTCCAAGATGTAGATGAGTTTGTTTCCTCATTAGAATAGATTGAGAAATTTAGCATTACATCACTTGTTCACCAATGGATCCTCTGCAGTGAATGGGTGCCGTCACAATAAGAGTGAAAACAGCTCATAAAAAACAAATTTCTCCAAATCTGTTCTGATGAAGAAAAACTCATTTACATCTTGGATGACCTGAAGGTGAGTAAATGTTGAGCTAATTTTCATTTTTGGGTGAACTACTCCTTTAAATAGTCACCTCTCCAGATAATCTTTTGATCCTGCCGTTTTCTTTAGTAAGATATGTAAAATAAGGATTTTATATATATATATATATATTTGTTTGAATAATCAGTTATTTCCCACATTATAAATTGACCTTTAATGAGGAGTACACTTTCAAAACAGCTGTGAAGTTCAGCTAGGAACATTAACCAAATTTGTCAGTTGTAGTTTATGATGCCAGTTTATTCTTGGATCATTCTGATCTCTGCATCACACACTGCCTAAGTGAGCACTGCTGTCTTTTATAAGAAGTTCAGACTTTGTTCACCTGCTGCTCACAAACACATTTTTCCTTTACATTTTTTATCAAGTGGGTTTCATACCGAGAACAAATATATTATCAAACATTATGTGTGATATCTTTGATACTGTTGTTGTTGTAAGTAATTGAAAATGGATAAGAGGGCATTTATTTCTGTGCTTTTACAGGAAGTGCAAATGCAAGATGAATTGCAACCACTTGCATGGTTATTATGCATCTACTTGTATACATTTAAAATGGCAGTCTGACTAACATGTTACTGTCGGTTTGACTAAAGGTTGACTTTAGGGTTATGTTTATCTTTTCTTTCCATTTCCCTTCTTTAAACTGTTCAAAAGCAAGCATTAAATAAATACGCAAAAGTTTATTATTGTTGATTCAATATATGCTTCTGAAGACAGCAACATTATTATTTAAAGTTTTGTTAAGGTTTTTTTTTTTCATAATGGAACAGTCTATTTGTTTATTTATTTATAGCTTTTTGTTTATTTTTCAAAAAGACATCTGAACTGTATTAGCCAGTGAAATAAAGGAAATGGAATAATGAAAACGCACCGTCTGAACTGTTCTGTTTGACAGTTAAATTGTGGTTGACAAAACAATAATTAAGGCAGATGACTGAAGACTGTTGAGAGTATTGATAAAATAGTGTTATATGGAATATTGGATAGTCTGGAAACCATGAAAAAAGAAATCCAGACATAAATTTGAAAAAATAAAAATAAAAATCACAAAAGACGTTTGTGATGTATTCATAAAACAAAATATGTATCATATATTGAGACAGTGTTCATCTCTTATGACAGGTTTGCAGAAAGTCATGGGCGGCACCAGAGAATTTTGAAAGCAGGTGCTAAGGGGGTGCTAGATCAGTGTTTAGTTAGTAAATAATTACTAATATAGTTATCAAAACCAGTTAATTTTAGGTTAAAGTTCAAGTTACTGTAGGTGTGTTTTATATTTGACACCATTTTTAAACATTCACGTGAACAGCTCAAAACCGCTCTTTGGAGAACAAAGCAGCCAGTATGAACAGGTAGGCCTGTAGCGATAATTACTATATTGAATTATCACATGATATATGGACATCACCGTGATAAGTTTTGGTATATTGCCCATTGTGTTTATATGGGTGTTCGTTTACCTAATAAATTAATTTCACCAATATTTAAGTCGATTGCCCTGCCTCTGTCATGTCGTCTGCTCTCTGTGTCTGAAGCAGAGGTGGGGCTCAGGCAGCTACACAGAGAGAGAGAGAGAGAGAGAGAGAGATGACAGCCGAACTGAGTTTGTGTGATTACCTGGGGCTGTCTTTCTTCAGGAAATCAGTTTGCCATCAGCTGTCAGAAGATGAAAGCAATATCTTTGTCGTAGTATCCTTTCAGCGTTAAGGATTTCCCATGACTGGCGTCAATGTGACGATCTTGCCTGGGCGGCCTCTTTACTGGTGGAGCTGCACAATGGAGATACAACATTTGGAAATAAGGATTTCCCCATATGGAGAATAAATCAGTTCTACAGCATGTCTCGTTAGCTCTGCTGTGTTTGATTTAAAACAGTTTTCTTCTTTTTAATCCTCTTAATCAAATGAAATATTTTAGTTTTGTGATCATATAGTGCAGGGCTGTCCAAACTCGGTCCTGGAGGGCAGTGTCCTGCAGAGTTTAGCTCCAACCCTAATTAAACACACCTGAACCAGCTAATCAAGCTCTTACTAGGCATAGAAACTTCCAGTCAGGTGTGTTGAGGCAAGTTGGAGCTAAACTCTGCAGGACACCGGCCCTCCAGGACCGAGTTTGGACAGCCCTGATATAGTGGATGAGATTTCAAGATTATCAGTTACAATAAACATTTTAAATGAATTAATCACAAATCAATTCAATAATTAAACAAATACAATATTTTCAGTGAAATACAGAACAATTAAATTAAATTTAATTGTTAAGGGGAAACATCCCCACCTAGTGACGAACAAGCGCAACTCTACACTAATAAAACAAATGAATCCATTAAACACATTAAAACAACATTTTCTATAACATACCTGCAAAATGGAGATACAAAGTGTGGAAATAAGGATTTCACTGTATGGAGAAATCAGTTCTACATAAAACACAAGATAACACAAATTAATTACGATTGTAACACAGTCAAAATAACTCCACATAAAACAATACATTCGACGCCAAACACATACTAACAGTTCCCAAACAATTTCACCGCAAGACAAAGCTACAACAAAGCAGTTATTTGTGTGTTTGATCACTTTTAACTGATATTTCTCTGACTGCTCATAACGTGCAACCCACCAACAGCACGTCTCATCATCAGCTGTGGGCGCGCGATTACATTACGAATAGCGTGATAGCGTAGCTGTGTCACGTCACGTCATATGTAAGTTACGCACGCCGCACACATAATGAGTAAAATGTTTCTATTTAATTTGTTTTTTTTTTTATTATATACTTCCTTATTAATTAGAATACAGCCTGTATGCAATTGCTGTCAGAAAAAAAAAATGTTTAGGGGTGCTATGGGGGTGCTGTGGTCTTTCTTGAGTGTGCTGAAGCACCTGCTAGCCCCACCCTAGCGCCGGATGCTCACGTTTAATGCTGCACTGTCGCCGCTAGATGTCAGTAGAATAGACTGTTGAGTGTGAGCGCTGCTGCTGCTGCTGCTGCTGCTCCTCCTGCATCCTGTCATTGTGCGCGACTCAGACTCATCGCTCATATGTGGAGCAGCAGCGTTTCTGAATTATCCACAAATAACCAGCAGTGGAAACTGCATTACACACTGACAGGTGGTAAGTAGCCTGCAAATCTACATTTGCCTTTCTGCTGCGTTTCATTTCGTTTAATATCAAATTTGCAGATAATTTACGTTATTTAATTTAATTTAGGGGACTACAGAGTGCACAGTCTTAAATGACAATCTAACTGTTACTTCATGTTACGTGTTAATACTCGAAGGCTCGGTAAATTAGATGTTGAATGTGAATATTCGGTTACTCAGTTTAAAGAGTTATTTATCTGTCATTCATAGTCGATAATATTGTTGCTGGTCTTTTTTCGTTAATATCACATTTTTATTGTCATGTGTGTTTTAAATGTTATACATTTATACAATTTATGAATTATAACATTAATTAAACTTTATCTGTACTAAAACAGTTGCTATTTCCCCCAGACAATAACAGCGTAAATAGATATTATTATTATTATTATTATTATTAATATAATTCCACAAAATTCAATAATCTGAACTGTTTTATGTCATAAAGTCTTAAAATGTGTTTATTGGCCATGTAGTTGTGTGTGTGTGTGTGTGTGTGTGTGTGTGTGTATATATATATGCACTTCTAAATAATATTTTTAAAGGAAACATAATATAGTATTATAATCATATAAACTTTAAGTACATATTTATTAATGTTTCTTTTTACAAATACAGTGCTTAACAAGTTTATTAGACCACCACCACCCAGTGTACGGTTTGTGCCACAGCTGCCCTAAACTAACAATATTGGTGATTACCAAAATAATTTTTATGTTTCTGTAATGGTTAATCCACACCAGTATGTGTAAGCTCTTTAGTCACAGGTGTTTTTCTAATGCCAAAATATAATTATTGTTGTTGTCAATGAATTTTAAAATGTACTATTTTACAAGAAAGGCAGAAAAAATAGTGAAGCACTTTATTATTATTATTATTATTCTGATGCGCAATTACAGTCAATAAATGCAGTCTGATACATTTGTTAAGCACTGGATGTGCTTAACAACTTTATTAATTAGACCACCTGTCATATTAACCCAGGGGTCCCCAAACTTTTTTTTTGCAAGGGCCACATAATTTTCCCTTTCTTTAATGGGGAGCCGGGTCGGTTTGTAACAGAAAATTACATGGGCTGGAGTGACTACTACTATTATTGTGGAGATTTTATTATGATTTTAAATGTATTTATTATGCCTCCTAATGCTAGAATAGTTTATTTTGTTATGTACCGTACAGACAAATGATTACTTTTCAAGAGACATATAGCCTATTAAAAGAGCATTGTTATTACTATCATAATGACATTTTTTCATATTCAGTGCTATTCAAAATCAAAACATTTACTTATGCATTAGTGTGAACTGTGGGCTTGCTTCTGGCTAGTGAGAAGTCCAATGTCAGGTTCCATTCCTGTCACAGCCAGTCTCAAAGACTGATGCAAATGTTCATCAGTGAGTCTTGATCTCATTGGAGCTCATGCATGAAAAGGTTTGCTCACAGATACGTGCTGCCAAAAAGTGTGGACATCTTCATTGCATGCCTTTTGATGTTTGGGTATGTCTCGTTAGGGAGGGCAGCATAGAATTCAATGAGACCGTTGGGCTTAAATGCGTCTTTCAGAACATCACAGTTCTGTAACTCAGCCAACTCAAACTGATAAGAACGCAGGGCTTCATCAATGTCGGCAGCAAAGGGGTTCTGGAAAAGGCGGATTTCTTTAGCGTGGGCATGTAGCTCACAGAATCACACGTCAAACTCTGCCTTCAGCATTTCCAGCGCTTCCACGGACTTTTCAGCTGGGAGTGGAGCCACTGGTTTCTCAGCTGAGAGATTTTGGGTAACGGTGAGATGAGTGAAGTCTTGCTTTTGCACTTGTCCCACAAGCAGTGCTATTTTCACCTCAAATGCTTTTATGTGGGAATACATGTCACATATTAGTTGTCCCTTGCCTTGGAGCTGCAAGTTGAGGCTGTTCAACATTTCTGTCACATCTGTTAAAAAGGCGAGGTCCCATTTCCATTCTGCGTCGATCAGTTCTGGGACAGTTTTGCCCTTTGTCAGAAGAAAGGCGTTGATTTCGGGTAGCAGCTCATAAAAACGCCTCAAAACTCTGCCCCGGCTTAACCATCGGACTTCAGTGTGGTAAAGCACATCTCCGTGAGCAGACTCTAGCTCGGCGAGAAAGGCTTGGAACTGCCGGTGTTTAAGTCCGTTTGCTCTGATGAAGTTTATGCATGACACCACCACCTTCATGACTGATTCCCACTTCAGAACTTTGCAGCAGAGTGCTTGCTGGTGAATCAGGCAGTGGACTTGTAACGGTGGGGTTAGACCTCTTTCCTCCATTTCTTTATTCATGCGTCCTATAAGCCCCCTCGACGCGCCAACCATACTAGGAGCCCCGTCAGTAGTGATGCTGGCCAGCTTAGACCAGTCTAGACCCAGCTCTCCCATCGTTTGGCACACTTTACCAAAAATATCCTCCCCTGTCGTAGTGCCTTTTAGACTTTGTAGGGCTGCTAGCTCCTCTGACACTTCAAAGTTTGAGCTAACTCCGCGAAGAAAAATTAGCAGCTGTGCTGTGTCCTGCACGTCATTGCTCTCATCCAGTGCTAATGCAAAAAATTCTAATTCTTTCACTTTCTCCTGCAGCTTGGCATATACATTATCCCCCATTTCTTCAATTCGTCTGGTGACTGTACTTGCGGACAGACTCACCGCATCTTATCGGTCTATCTTTCCTCGGCAACAGCATTCATACATTTCTTGACGAACTCGCCGTCACTGAATGGCCTACCACTGGTTGCAATCAGTTTAGCTACCTGAAAGCTAGCTTGAACGGATGACTGGTTCAGCTGGGTTTGGCATACAAATGTATTCTGCTGAGCTGATAATAGACTTTTTAGCTTCGACACTTTGTCTGCTCTCATTTGGCCTTGCAAGCTAGCATACTTTTCTCTGTGGCGGGTTTCATAGTGTTGGCGCAGATTGTATTCTTTGAACACAGACACTGTTTCTTGACAGATGAGACAAACAGCCACTTCTTTGCACTGAACAAAAAAATAATCACTTGTCCACTTTTGGTTAAATACCCTGCATTCTGAATCAACCTTTCTCTTTCCCAACTGCTTGGCCATTTTGTCGTCTCTTTGAATTTTCTTGCTGGCTCGCAAGAAGTGGTAACCAGTCGCAACCAGTGGTAATTTAGGAATGTCAACAGGCGTCACCTGTTCGATCGCGATGGTACGTTATGTTGAATGTACCATTCTGTTGGTAGGTGAATTTAACAAATGATTAGGCTACGTTAATAACTAAGGGAAATTTTAGTCTGAAAGCCAATATTTATTATCAAATATAGACATGATATAAGTGAAACCGTATATTTACAATTTAATTTTCAAAATATGTCTCTGGCATTGTTCAGAGGGCCGGTCCAAATGTGGGGGCGGGCCGCATTCGGCCCGTGGGCCGTAGTTTGGGGACCCCTGTATTAAAGAGTAAACAAGTAATTTAGGAATGTCAAAAACTTGTTTAAAACTAAAATAAATTACCAAAAATATATAAAAATACCCCAAGATAACCAAAAAACTTAATATTTTGTTTGGCCTCCTTTGGCATTGATAACAGCTTGCATTCTTGCTGACATTGTTTTTATCTGCTTTTATCTGCTTTTACTCAGTTTCTGTTGTTATTGACTGTAATTGGGCATCTGAATAAAAAAATTAATAAAGCTTTAGGCCTAAATAAAACTTTACTATTGTTCTGCCTTTCTTGTAAAACAGTAAATATAAAAAAGAATAATAAAAAAACATTTTGAAAATAACATCTAGGCTATTTATCGTAAAATGCTTCAAAGCTGTAACGAAATCATCCACTGAAGGCGAGCGTAGTGAGAACCCAAGTGCAGTTTATTTACAAGTGATCCAAACATCCAAACGATAATCCGAGACTTGACTTGACATGAACAGACTTGACATGAACAGACTTGACATGAACAGACTTGACATGAACAGACTTGACATGAACAGACTTGACATGAACAGACTTGACATGAACAGACTTGACATGAACAGACTTGACATGAACAGACTTGACATGAACAGACTTGACATGAACAGACTTGACATGAACAGACTTGACATGAACAGACTTGACATGAACAGACTTGACATGAACAGACTTGACATGAACAGACTTGACATGAACAGACTTGACATGAACAGACTTGACATGAACAGACTTGACATGAACAGACTTGACATGAACAGACTTGACATGAACAGACTTGACATGAACAGACTTGACATGAACAGACTTGACATGAACAGACTTGACATGAACAGACTTGACATGAACAGACTTGACATGAACAGACTTGACATGAACAGACTTGACATGAACAGACTTGACATGAACAGACTTGACATGAACAGACTTGACATGAACAGACTTGACATGAACAGACTTGACATGAACAGACTTGACATGAACAGACTTGACATGAACAGACTTGACATGAACAGACTTGACATGAACAGACTTGACATGAACAGACTTGACATGAACAGACTTGACATGAACAGACTTGACATGAACAGACTTGACATGAACAGACTTGACATGAACAGACTTGACATGAACAGACTTGACATGAACAGACTTGACATGAACAGACTTGACATGAACAGACTTGACATGAACAGACTTGACATGAACAGACTTGACATGAACAGACTTGACATGAACAGACTTGACATGAACAGACTTGACATGAACAGACTTGACATGAACAGACTTGACATGAACAGACTTGACATGAACAGACTTGACATGAACAGACTTGACATGAACAGACTTGACATGAACAGACTTGACATGAACAGACTTGACATGAACAGACTTGACATGAACAGACTTGACATGAACAGACTTGACATGAACAGACTTGACATGAACAGACTTGACATGAACAGACTTGACATGAACAGACTTGACATGAACAGACTTGACATGAACAGACTTGACATGAACAGACTTGACATGAACAGACTTGACATGAACAGACTTGACATGAACAGACTTGACATGAACAGACTTGACATGAACAGACTTGACATGAACAGACTTGACATGAACAGACTTGACATGAACAGACTTGACATGAACAGACTTGACATGAACAGACTTGACATGAACAGACTTGACATGAACAGACTTGACATGAACAGACTTGACATGAACAGACTTGACATGAACAGACTTGACATGAACAGACTTGACATGAACAGACTTGACATGAACAGACTTGACATGAACAGACTTGACATGAACAGACTTGACATGAACAGACTTGACATGAACAGACTTGACATGAACAGACTTGACATGAACAGACTTGACATGAACAGACTTGACATGAACAGACTTGACATGAACAGACTTGACATGAACAGACTTGACATGAACAGACTTGACATGAACAGACTTGACATGAACAGACTTGACATGAACAGACTTGACATGAACAGACTTGACATGAACAGACTTGACATGAACAGACTTGACATGAACAGACTTGACATGAACAGACTTGACATGAACAGACTTGACATGAACAGACTTGACATGAACAGACTTGACATGAACAGACTTGACATGAACAGACTTGACATGAACAGACTTGACATGAACAGACTTGACATGAACAGACTTGACATGAACAGACTTGACATGAACAGACTTGACATGAACAGACTTGACATGAACAGACTTGACATGAACAGACTTGACATGAACAGACTTGACATGAACAGACTTGACATGAACAGACTTGACATGAACAGACTTGACATGAACAGACTTGACATGAACAGACTTGACATGAACAGACTTGACATGAACAGACTTGACATGAACAGACTTGACATGAACAGACTTGACATGAACAGACTTGACATGAACAGACTTGACATGAACAGACTTGACATGAACAGACTTGACATGAACAGACTTGACATGAACAGACTTGACATGAACAGACTTGACATGAACAGACTTGACATGAACAGACTTGACATGAACAGACTTGACATGAACAGACTTGACATGAACAGACTTGACATGAACAGACTTGACATGAACAGACTTGACATGAACAGACTTGACATGAACAGACTTGACATGAACAGACTTGACATGAACAGACTTGACATGAACAGACTTGACATGAACAGACTTGACATGAACAGACTTGACATGAACAGACTTGACATGAACAGACTTGACATGAACAGACTTGACATGAACAGACTTGACATGAACAGACTTGACATGAACAGACTTGACATGAACAGACTTGACATGAACAGACTTGACATGAACAGACTTGACATGAACAGACTTGACATGAACAGACTTGACATGAACAGACTTGACATGAACAGACTTGACATGAACAGACTTGACATGAACAGACTTGACATGAACAGACTTGACATGAACAGACTTGACATGAACAGACTTGACATGAACAGACTTGACATGAACAGACTTGACATGAACAGACTTGACATGAACAGACTTGACATGAACAGACTTGACATGAACAGACTTGACATGAACAGACTTGACATGAACAGACTTGACATGAACAGACTTGACATGAACAGACTTGACTAGAACAGACTTGACTTGGCATGGACAGGACTCACCAACAGCAGAGTTACAACATCAATACACGACAAGGGCACAACGGGAACATGAAGGCTACTTATAGCAGACAAGGAGGGTCACATGACATGAATAAAACAATGGGGAACAAGACACATGACTAAGACTACCAATCAGAACATGACACATACACAAGGCAGAGATACATGAGGGAAGGGAAGCATGACACTAACAGCAGGAAACAATTACAAAATAAAAGACATGGAAAACATGAACATGAAACAAAACCCAAACACCACATTACAAAAGTAATATATAGTATTTATAATATGTATTATAGTAATATAGCATTTAGAATTTTGTTTACTTGTGTTTTAAAAAATATGAATGTTAAATATTATGTAGAATCATAATGAGACTAAATGGACATTCCCTGTCTAGATATCCAGAAAATCTGTATTTCATCTTCTGTTTGCAGTGGCCAACCAGTGAACACATTTAAAAGTCCAAAGGCCTCTCTATGGTTCCTAGTCACTCTCTGATCATGGGGAATGGTTTGATCAAAGCCCCTCGGCTAGAGGAGACCTGCCTGGCCTCCGGTATAAAAGAGGCCCCTGTATGGGAGTCTGTGGAGCCCCTGAAGATGAGGATCACCCATCTCGAGGAGGAGTTGGCACGGAGGGACCAGGAGCTCCGCACACAGGAGAAGCGCTTACAGAGCCTTCAAAGGGAACTAGAAGCAAAAGTGTCCCAGATCGATAAGCTCCAGGATGCCATCGGGTATAACAGCCTTGGACGCTCACCACCAGCACCGCTGAGGCACAGCCGCAGACTGCTGAGCGTAATCAACCAGGGCTCCACACGCTTCCACAGAGTGGCTGTGGAGGTGCATCGACGCCTTAAGGCCAAGGAGGGCGTTTCAGCTGAACCCACATCGAGGCACTTCTGTCATGACCACAGGGTCCATCACATCTCCACAGAGAGACAACACATCCGCAAAGACTCCGGGTGAGTGCACTGACACTGATTGCACCACTGGATTGTTTGTTTCATTATGGAGTCACTGGAGTACTGACTCTCCCGGAAGGTGGAGACAGGAGTAAGGTTTAGCCAAGTCTTTGTAGTGTCTCCAACCCCAGAGCAGGCTTGAAAGCCTGGATTACCATAACACACTCCAGAGGGGATGGAGTGGCTCAAGAGAACACAAAGGGTGGGCCATTTGTATGCATGGACAGGACTCATTACTGTTTCAATTAAACAC